GTGTGTGTGTGTGTGTGTGTGTGTGTGTGTGTGTGTGCGCGCGCGCGCGTGTGTGTCCTTCCAGTCCACATTATTAAACAATAAGATTAAAAATTTAAAACAACTCAAATGTTTTAACTTCTAAAACCCGATTAAACAGAAGTCAGTTTTATTTTGAGCTGCAGTAGCACTTTTTTACAATTAGAAAAACATATGAACTTGCAAATTTCCAGGAAGCTTGGTGAGCTGTAAAGTTCAAATTGTGGTTTTGAAACAGTTGCTCTTAGAAAGATGAATCAAACACTGTTGCCATTCAAAGCAAAACTTCCCATATTTCATCAGGACACAATCCAGTGACAGAAGTTCACATATGAACTATGTCTGGGACATTACAGAAATAAATCCTGTGGACAGACTTAGTTAAGACTGGATTTTTACACTGCAGCTAATGAATGTGGGAAAAATATTATAAGTTTGGAGAGGGAAAAACCATATTTACCAGGTAGAAGGAAAAATAATTTCAATAAAAACAGACAACAATAAAAACAAAACATGTAGAATATGATAAAATAAAGTTAAAAGTCAACATCATTTATGATGAGATAATGAGTTTAAATATATTCCTATCTACACTGGTTGAGGGTTTTATCCATGAAAGGCATGTGTGTGACTGTTAGCAAAATATCTCATGATCCACTGGATGGATTATAAAGAACTTTCCATCTACCATCTATTCTTGCTTCTTTCTGGACAGTGGGTACCCAGTATGGGAGAGGTGGGTACACTCTGGACAGAGACAGGCTGGTTCATCACAGGGACACATGAGACAAACCATTCACACAGGACAATTTAGAGTTACCAGTTTACCTAACATGCATGTTGTAGGTCTGAGGACACCCAAGCACCCAGAGAAAACACACACATGCAAACACTATCCAGAAAGGTCAATAGCCAGAATTCAAACCAGCAATCTTCTTGCTGAGAGGCAATAGCTCTACCAACTGCACCAACGTAGGTATTGGATCAGCTAAAACTTATTGATTTCAAGTGGTCCATAATGCCTCTATCTCTTTAAGAACCTCCTACCATTTCTGACACTCCCACTTCAGCACGTCTTCACCAGAGCCGTGGTCGTCACAACAATGCTGTGGGGGAGGGGTGCTCTGTGGGGAGGGAGCTCGGCTGCAGACTGAGCTCCAGGCAGGAGCTTTGTACAAATGGGCGGAGTTTTGTCCAAATAGGCGGAGCTTTTGTACCTGCAAGCATTTAGGCAGCACCACATTGCTACCACAGGAGATTCAAGGATTTCTCAAACATGCGTAAATGAGTCAAAGCAACACTGGGTATGTTTTTAATGAGACATTATAACATGATTATCTCAAAAAGGTTGATTTTGTCGATTAAAAATAAAAGTGCCCTAAAAGATGGAGTATTCTGTACACATGTACAGTGGGGGGAAAAGTACTTTGTCTAGTTGAGGTCTAACTATGATGTCAATCACAGGCCTCTCTCATTTTTTTAAGTGGGAGAACTTGAACAATTGGTGCCGACTAAATACTTTTTGTCCCACTTTAGCTAATTTAATATGTAGCGCTAATATTGACAAAATCTTTGTGTGAGGGCAGAGGAAAGAATTTTGCTACAGAGGCTGATTGTTAATGTTAGTGACAATAAAAGTTTAAAGTTGTCTCCATTGTCTCTGAAAGTGAAGCACTGCCAAATTTACAAGTTGCTGTACGCTTTCTCCTAGTTGTTGTTGTTTTACAATGATATCATTTATGAATGATGTAGCCAAACTTTTTACTTAAAATTTTGAAGACATCCTTTACTGCTCCCAGAGAACCATGGTTCATTTTCTGGGAGTGCTGCGTGCGAGTGACGGAGGGTGCGGATGGGTGACAGCTGCTAACAAAAACACATAAATAGCAATAAGTCAGGTTTGAATTTGAATCAGAGGTTACATTTTAAATCCAATGAAAGCAAGAATGTTAACTAATAAATTAGACAATAATCTGGCTATTTAGTGATATTTCCACAGTTGTGGTCTTGACTAGTCTTGAAATAAAATTCCGAGTCCTCAATGTCCGAGACCGAGACAAGACCAAGACCATCCAAAACTGGTCTTGAGACCGGTCTCAAGACCAAGACCGTATTCAAGTACTACAACACTAACAACTAGTGAGAGGTAATGTCAGACTCCTCTGATAATGTCCAGCTTTTGGTTGAACTGTATTCGTAACAAAAAAACTGGAAAATAAATCAAAATATTCCCACGGGACAGTTTTTTTTTTTTTTTTACCAAAACTAAATGCAGAGCTAGTCCAGGTGATCCAACAACTAGCTTTATGTTAGCTACAATTTAAGTTCAGTGATGACTTTAAACCTATTATTCAGGTGCTTTTAATCAGTTAAACTGTTTTTAATGACAAGAATGAGGAAACAGAAGCTAGTAAATTACAGAAATTGATCAATTCAAACATTTAAAGTACTGCTTGTATTATTAACAAGAATAAAATTTTTATTTTTTTAGAGTTTTGGTATTTTCTGCATAAAACATTGCTTCATGGGCAGAGAACTAACTTTTAACAACAATAATTGAAATTAAATTTAAGACCCACTTCACAATAAACACAAATGAGAAAAAACAAGAACAATTGTTCTTGTTTTTATTGACGTAATCTCTTAATTTATTCATGTTATATCATATTTTCTTGACTTTTTAAAAGCAGACCGACTTCAGATGGCAGTAAACCAAACCTAATATTTAATCCATCTTCATGTCTGTTGATGTAGGAGCTGAAAGTCAGAGGTTGTTATTAATATCAATTTGTTCACTGTGTATTTAAAAATTTAAACATGTAGTTGTTTGGAACAATGAAACATTACAAATAAAACTAAATCAAGAACAAACAATATAAATTCTATTCTAAAGTCTTTGTTTGGGATAAATTTTCACCTTAATTTCATTATCATAGCCATAGCAGTGAGTTTTAAAATAGGATGATTCATCTAGAATCTGTCTCTAATTTAGTTATTTAATCAAGTGGTTTTTTTTTAATGTAGGTAAAAGTGTGTTTAGGAAAATACAGCAGAATGCAGGAAACTGCATCTACTGATTTCAAAATTTTCTGGAGGAGGACCCCCAGACCCCACATCTAATGGCCCCCTCACACACATTACAATGCTTCTGGTGCTCTTGGTTTAATGTTCATGTTAAATTACTGCACCACAGCAGAAACGTTTACTTTGTTATTGATGAAGTGTGAAGAGGCAAGTTTTGGTTGGGACTGGGATTTCAAACAAATAAAAGTTTCAAATGTATTGCTAGGGTTAATTGGAAAGATGTTCGTTTAATAACTTTCATTGTTGTTTATCCTTAATTTCAAATAATTTTACAAAGGTATTTTCATTCATCCATAGGCTATTATGAGAGTAACTACTTGAGCTCTATAAACCTATATTACACAAAAATAACTTGGAGGGAAATCATTTGCTGAATGTTTCGTCCCCCCCAGTTCAAAAATCCTATCTGGACCCCTGGACTCACTGGGGGGTTGAGACTGTTACTTCTTGGGGCTGCTCGATCTAGCTGACTCATTTGGATCATGTGGGCTTTTCTGGCCATGTCTCTGGGGTTGGGGCTGTTGTCCAGGCTTGAGTCATTCGGGGGATGACCGGTCCTCATTCAGACTGACGAGTGGAAATAATCTATATGAAGAGTTTCAGTCAGGGTTTAGAGCTCATCATAGCACAGAAACAGCACTGGTGAAAGTTACTAATGATATTCTCATGGCCTCAGACAGTGGACTTGTGTCCATTCTTGTCCTGTTAGATCTCAGTGCTGCATTTGATACAACTGATCACAATATTTTATTACGTAGACTTGAACTTGATATTAATATTACAGAAACAGCTCTAAAATGGTTTGAGTCTTATTTAACTGACAGATTTCAATTTGTTAATGTTAATAATGAATCTTCTTCTTACACCAGAGTTAGTCATGGAGTTCCTCAGGGTTCAGTGCTTGGACCAATCCTCTTTACTTTGTATATGCTTCCTTTAGGTAAAGTTATTAAATAGCATGGGATAAATTTCCATTGTTATGCTGATGATACTCAGTTACATTTATCCATGAAATCTGATGATGATGAATCTCTGCTGCTGCTGAGGCTGCTGAGGATTGGCTGTCTGCCCCCTCTTGCAGGTGTAGAGGCAGACTGTCTTGTGTTTTCTCAAAGCTTCTTTCTCTTTTATACTATTATCTTCTTGTTTTCCTTTTAAGCTCTTTCATCACCTTTCTCCTTTTCTTCCGTTTTCTTTTCTGTCCATTATATGGAAATAATCCCAAAACAATTACTAATAAAGTTTAAATATAAGTGGAGCATCATGGTGAAAGCCACAATGCTGCACTCGTAAAACTGTTTGGCCTCATCTTGACACTCCGACATTAATTCTGAGTTTCACACTGCCAGACAGGACACAGTTTTAAAAAAAAGAATTCAGACACGTGATTATTAGTGACTCATTCCTCCCTTCAGAACTTCCCATTGCAGAAAACTGAATTTCCATCACTTGTGATCTCAAAGAGATGTGGATTGTGAAAGATGGCATTTAGGAGGTTTTTCCCAACTCATTAAATTAAAAAGTACGGCCATGAACTGAAGAGATTTGAAACACTGATTCACTTTAATTTGTCAAATTTTCTACTTTGAACTCCATCATCTGATATGTTTCAAAATGAAAGCAGTGATAATGAAAATGAAAGGGAGAAGTAAACATGTTACAGTCACAATCAATAGAAATGATAATGTGATGTGGAAGTACCCACTTCTCATCATGGTGATTTTAGCCACTTTGGAAATTTGACAGCCCAGCCCACAAATAATGCAATAAACTATAAAAGACAACTATCTGTGAGAGTTTCTTCACATTAGGAGACTGTTGAGAACAAGTAATGCTACGCAAGGTACAGTTTTTATATTTATTATCTTGGATTTGCATCTTTTAAACCAAATAAACTAAAACATTTAAGAGTATTTTTGCTCCAAATTAATTTTATTGTCCTGATCTGTAATATTTGCAGTTTTGAACCTTGCATTTTGGTTGTAACTGGCCTCGTTTCACCTTTCCAGGGTATTACAGAGAGCTTTGGAGCTGCGATCCACGCCCTGAACTCCTCTCACCTGACAGATGGTGTGATTAACAGAAGCAAAAGGATGATGCTGGACTCCCTGGGTGTCGGGCTGTTAGGGAGCCGGACGGCTGTCTTCAGCAAGGCTCTCATGTTCAGCGAGGTAAAGTCTGCTTAGAATACAAACAAACATTAACAATGCAGCGTACCTGCTGAGACGGACAGCTGCAAAAATGTTTATAAAATTCTGTGAAATGCAATATTTCTGTATTATAAATGCTTCTTTTATTAAAATAGATACTTGTTGACATTTTATTGGCAAGCCTTCACACAACTGAGATCGTGTTTTCTTTTGTACATTTTCCTGTATGTATCTCGTTCTGCAATTTTTGTGCTTTTTCAACAATTCAAATATCAAAAAGTTCAGCTCCTTCAGAACATTCCAGCTTTTGGTGTTGTTAGCAATTCATACTTTTTAAGATATTTAGCTTTTTCAGCCTTTTTTCCTCATTGAAAATGAGGAAAAAAAACATCCCTAAAACGTTCAAAAGGTTCATGAAGTTACTTTGTGCTAGTTTCAGCTTCTGTCAGCTTCTATTTTGTGGTTTTTTTAAATTAATTAATTAATTAATTTTGCTATCATTCTGACCTTTTCTGCCATTCTTCTAATTTAAACTTTTTGTGCCTCTTTAAACATGTGCTTTTTCTGTTCCTTCATGCTAATTTCAGCTACTTTTAAGCTATTTTTAGGCTAAGTTGACCTTTTAAAACTTTTTCTAAACAAATTGCAAGAACTTCTCTTTGTTTTGTTTTGTTTTGTTTTGTTGTTTTTTTTAGATTTGAAAAGTTCCACTCCCATTTCCCAGTTTGTCTGTTAATTTAAACTTCTTTTAGTTTCTTTTTGCTAATTTTGGCTACTTTTTTGCTTTTTAAGATTTTGCAGCCTTTTTTGCTATCTTTCTAAAGATTTTTCACTTTTGTTGTCCTAAAAGATAGCTGGTCAAATATAACTCGCATTAACATTTTTGCTATTAAACTTTTTCAGCTTCTTCAGCAGCTTTTAGCTAACATCTTTCAGCAGTGAGCGTTCACAATGCATTTTCACAGGAAATGCAATTTCTGTAGTTTAAATTTTTAATCAACTCATTAGTCTGTCCTCTTCGATTCTTCAGATGATTTCTCATTCTGACGTGTTTTTTGCAGATGTTCATGTCAGAGCAGAGGAGCAGTGTTTGGGGTCGATCTGAGACGACTCTCCCTCCTCATTATGCTGCTTTTGTCAATGGTGTTGCAGTAAGTATGGATTTATTAAAGCGTCAAAACCTACAGAACCCTGCTCTGCTCTGAACTTTGATTAAAACTTTCTCTGATCTTAGGTTCACTCCATGGATTTTGACGACACTTGGCACCCGGCAACTCATCCCTCAGGGGCCGTGCTGCCCGCACTGCTGGCCCTGGCAGAGACCCTGCCCAGCCGGCCCTCTGGTCTGGACTTGCTGCTGGCCTTCAACGTGGGTCTGGAGGTGCAGGGCAGACTGATGAGGTTCTCCAGCGAGGCCTACAACATCCCTGAACGGTAAACATCTACTTCGGTTTTATTTTAGAACTGAATATGATGGGAGGATCTTGGTTTTATATCAAATTTAATCTAGGTTTAAAACATTTTCCTCTCAGTGGATCTATTCGGATGCTGTATTTTGCAGTGGGGTTMTGTGGAAAAGTATAAACAATTATTATTTTACCTGCTGTAGATAGTTCTTTAAATGACCTCAGTTTGAAGAAATTAAGTAATTATTTGACCACATTATTCAGTAATTCAAGTGGGGTTAGGCCCAAAATCTTAAAAAAATTATAACAATTCTCTTGAACATTAAATTAACTTTTCAGTAATTATCAGTTTCATACAATTATCATCATAAAACATGCGTTTGTTCTACACATTCTCACTCCCAACTCGTCACATATTGACGTTTAAGGTAAGGTTCCCTCTGCGTCTTATTTGGACGCAGAAGGTACCCCCCTCGCGTCACTCCTTGACGCCCACGGCTTTTCCGGGTTGCGCCACCAGGGGGCTTTGGGGCGGGTGTCTGAGGTTAACATTAGGGATCAGGT